GGCACCACGCTGCCGTAGACGTGCAGCTCCCGCACCACGGAGACGCCGCCCTTGAGCTCGGGCCGGAAAGATTCCCCGGAGCATCGGCGCAGCCGCAGCAGCCCCACGAGAATATCCCGCTCCGGGTCCTCGTAGGACAGGAACGTCTCCCAACCTCCATTGGCCACGTAATCCCGACGGACCAGCTCCACCTGCGCCGGGAAAAATCCCGGAAAAATGTGTAATTGGGGTTTTGGGAAAATCCCGGAGAAATCCCGGAAAATCCCGGAAATTTTGGGAAAATCCCGGAAAAATGTGTAATTGGGGTTTTGGGAAAATCCCAGAGAAATGTTTAATTGGGGTTTGTTTTGGGAAAATCCCAGAGAAATGTTTAATTGGGGTTTTGGGAAAATCCCAGAGAAATGTTTAATTGGGGTTTTGGGAAAATCCCAGAGAAATGTTTAATTGGGGTTTTGGGAAAATCCCGGAGAAATCCCAGAAAATCCTGGAAAATCCCAGAGAAATGTTTAATTGGGGTTTTGGGAAAATCCTGGAGAAATCCCGGAAAATCCTGAAGAAATGTTTAATTGGGGTTTTGGGAAAATCCCGGAGAAATGTTTAATTGGGGTTTGGGAAAATCCCGGGGAAATGTTTAATTGGGGTTTTGGGAAAATCCTGGAGAAATGTATAATCGGGGTTTTGGGAAAATCCCGGAAAATCCTGGAAAATCCCAGAGAAATGTTTAATTGGGGTTTTGGGAAAATCCCGGAGAAATGTTTAATTGGGGTTTTGGGGGAGAAGAGGGAATTTTGTGGGTTTTGGAGGGGTTGGGAGGGGTTCCAGGAAGGGAGTTGTGGGTGGGGATGGCAGAGATGGGATTGGTCATGGGGGAGGGTTCTGGAGTGGTTTGGGTGGGATTGGTGGAGATTCGATCCCAAATCCCATCCCATGGATCCCAAATCCCATTCCAAATCCCATACCTTTAATTCCATCCCATCTCATCCCATCCCATCCATTTCATGGATCCCATCCCATCCCATGGATTCCAAATTCCACCCTGAATCCTATCCTAGGGATCCCATCCCATGGATCCCATATCCCATCTCATGGATCCCAAATCCCATCCCATGGATCCCAAATCCAATCCAAAATCCCATCCCAAATCCTATCCCATGGATCCCAAATCCTATCCCATGGATCCCATCCCAAATCCCACCCCATGGATCCCAAATCCCATGGATCCCAAATCCCATGGATCCCGAATCCCATGGATCCCGAATCCCATCCCAAATCACATCCCATGGATCCTGAATCCCAAATCCCATGCCATGGATCCCATCCCAATTCCAATTCCAATTCCAATCACATTAACTCCATCCCATCCCATCCCATTCCCATCCCATCTCAAATCCCATCCCAAATCCCATTCAATGGATTGCATCCCAAATCCCACCCCATTGATCCCAAATCCCATCCCAAATGCCATTCCAAATCCCATTCCTTTGATTCCATCCCATCCCATCCCATCCCATGGATCCCAAATTCCATCCCATCATCATCCCATCCCATGGATCCCATCCCATCACAATCAATTCCAATCTCATCCCATTAATTCCATCCTATCGATCCCATCCCATCCCATTCTATCGATCCCATCCCAAATCCCACCCCATGGATCCCAATTCCCACCCCATGGATCCCAAATCCCATTCCTTGAATTCCATCCCAAATCCCACCCCATGGATCCCAAATCCCACCCCATGAATCCCAAATCCCATCCCAAGGATCCCAAATCCCATCCCATGGATCCCAAATCCCACCCCATGGATCCCAAATCCCATCCCAAGGATCCCAAATCACATCCCATGGATCCCAAATCCCATCCCATTAATTCCATCCTATCGATCCCATCCCATCCCATC